GTAGGACCTCACACCTTTCCACACCTTAGACCAGCTGAGCTGGACTCCGTCATCTGAAGAGCTTAATGCGCTCTGACGCAGAAGACCGTTAGAGGGCTGAATCTGCCTTTTACAGGATCGTTTCTACGATGTTTGTGGGTGAGGAAAGCCGAGCATGAGAATGCGTGACCTCCCTGTGGGTGATGAATCTCTAGCACGCAGCGGGTTTGCGGGAGGATGCTGCGCTGCGCAATCAATGCGCCTGTCTCAGATGCAGGCGTCTTCAGCGCTTCAGCACGACGGACAGCGACACGCGCGGTACCGGTCCGGTCCAGTCCGGTTCGCGCCCAAACACCATCGATAAGAGCAACCCCCCCACCCCCACCCCATCACAGCCATTTTGGAGCAGAGATGTTTTTAAACGTGAGGATGATGATGTCGCAGCAGGGTGATGAGGCGTGAATCAGTCGGAAGCGGTGGAACACGGATCTGTGTGTGTGTGTGGGGGGGGGGGGGGGGCTCCTTTTTTTATTAAATAGCGTCCACGCAGTTTCTTTTTCTCTGTGGCACGCGCCTGTGCGTGACCGTGAAGGAGAGGAAAGTTTCCGCTGCGGGGTTGGGCGGAGGAGGGCGGGGGAGGGGGCTTTTCCCGCTGGAGAGTACCGGAACCGCGGTAAAACCCGCACTATGACACCCACGCCTCATCCATCCACCCGTCTCCGAGGTGACGCAGAAAACTGTCAAAGATCGCCGCGTGACGTGTCAATCGGTCACACGTGGCGCACAAGAGCGTCCAACGCTTTTGCACCAGCTTGACTCGTTGCGCATTCACACCTTACCCCCCCCCCCTCCCCCCCCCACCACCACCACACACACACACACACACACACACACACACCTCCACCCCACCCCGATGCGGTCTGTCCCGTGGGAGATCGTGGGGTTTCAGACGTTTTTGTCTGTTTGTTGCTTCTGGTGCTGATGCTGACGCGTGCGCCCGCAGACACGGGCACGCGGAAGCAGGGAGATGATGCTGACTGCCCTGAAACGCGATGATGCAGCAGATCAGAGGCTGGAGCGGTGCTGGTCTCTGGCGCAGCGGGAAGGGTCAGCGGCGTGCCGCTGCGTCTGGATCACTCAGATGCGCCTCTGAGGGTCTGGGACACCAGAGCCAGTGAGGACGGTCCGGGTACAGCGTGGCAGGATGCGGTTTGTTAAACATGCAGTGAAAGACTGACTCACATCATCCTCACACAGGCTGACAGCTGCTTTTATCAGATGTTCATCCATCCTTTCAGTCTTTAGGGGATGACCATCAACTGTTTTCATGAGGAAATGCACCAAATATTCGTTTTTCTAACATTTTAGGATCGGAGATACTTCAGATCAATTCAAAATAAGACCATCTTCTACTGAAATTGTTTATTTTGCTTTAGGATTAACCCAAACCCACGTTCAAGCATCTGTCAGCCTCACTGATTTAAACGGTGCTGACCTGTGTACAGATGTTTACTGGACTCTAAGGTGCGTTACACCAGGACTCTGAGCATTACTGAGCCTGAATAACAAACTTTCTAAAAGAAATCAACATTTCTGATGAAGCCTAAAACTTTGTGTCTGCTCACATAAACACATCCATATCTGAGACCTCACCGGGTTTATGAAGAATCTTCTGGAGCTTCTGTGCTGAGCATTTTGTGGCAACTCGGCTCTCCTACACAGGACCCCCTAATGACAGACGACTCTGCATGCAGTGTAAACATCAACATGAGGATCAAAATGGCCGCTGAGGCCGCCTGGCTGCAGCAGCTCTGCCGCAGGAACAGCTATGATGTTGTGCTTTGAACAGCCGAGTGATGCAGAGCAGCGTGGACACAAGGCCATCAGTGACCCATCTAGAGCTTCCCTCTATTAAACAAACCTAAATGCACCTTGGTGAGACCTTTATCTCTCAGGCTGTGATCACTGTTGTGTTGGCTCATGAGAAGAATCCAGAGAGAGGAAACAAACGTTGTTTTTACAGGAGCAGCCAAGCAGCGTGGATGGGTGATTTACTGTAGAGCACCCATGCTGGTCTTTATTCTTCTGATCCTCACCAGCAGCAAACCACATCACCTCATGACCCCCGAGACGGGCTGCCGGCTCCATCTATGACTGAGTTGAAGGTTTTGGTTTTTAACTGTCGGGCACCTTCGTATTTCCCAGCAGAGATCCTACACACCCATGATAGGAGAGCTCTGTTGCTGTCAGATGTTCCCAGAACTCGTCTTGTGACTCAGAGTCTGCCGAACAAGCTCGGATGTTGGGAAGCCGCAACTTTGAGTGTTTTCAGTCGATCTTAAAGACGTGTTTTTAATTCCAGTAATCAACGGGCTGGTTTTGGGTTTCTGGCTGGTGCTTGCACCTGTGGACTGGGTTTTGCTTGTAAAGTGCTCCATAAACAAAAGGCTGAAGGATTTTGGCCCTCAGTGATGGTGAGCTGTGTAAACTGGCAAATGTTGGACTATATTACTTTTATTACAGTGAAACTGAAGTTAAAGTCCCATCAGCCATCACACACCGGTGACATGCATCTCTGCGTTTGAGCCATCCCTGTGGGGAGCGCTGCGGCCGCGCTCAGGAGCCACTTGGTGGTCTAGACCCCGTAATCCAACCCCTTAAAGCTGAGTGTCAAGCAGGGAGGCACTGGGTCTTCGGTAAGACCCGACCGGGGTTAGAACTCCGATCTCCCAGTCCCAGGCTGGACGCTCTACCACAAGGCCACCGAGCTGGCGGATTGCGATCACCAGCTGATTTTTGCTGATGTCTCATATAAACAGCTGCTGCTCCTGATTGGCTGACATGAATCAGGACGTGAGTCACTCGCTGGGTTCTGCACGTAAACGTATCATGTTCACCGCTACGCTGTTTGTCTTGATGTAAACATCCGTCTGAGGCTTCTGTTGTTACGTATTTACACATCCCACACCAGCGTCAGCATGGATGTCACAACGGAGCTCAGCGATGGTCTGTGGGGAATGTTTACCCGGTACGTCCCAGGCAGGGCTCACCTGATATCAGCATCTCAGCATTCAACAAGACCACAGCTACATGTTCACATATCTCATACTGTGATTTATTAAATACAAGCTGGAAGTTGGATTAATGAAGGGACCGATAGGTCAGGGGTCTCCGACCTGCACCGTTGGGGCCACCAGAAACTCTACTGGTCCCCCTGCAGTAGAGATACGGCCCAGCCAAACATCGGGCCGATAAATAGGAATGAATGCATTTTAGTCTTACTTCCTGTTACTTGGACATCTCTCCTCTGATTGGCTAATAGCAAAAGGACTCCATCCCTAACTTGTTTGCTGTGAAACGTTGATGTTTTATCTCCACAAATAACCCACGCCTGGAGGAGTTCTGCTGTGTGGTGGAGAAGATAATGCTAACAGTTAGCTTCTACTGAGACCTTCTCTGAGGTTTCCTGGATGCTAAACCAACAACAGCCTTCCCGTCGTGAGTCCAGATGGGTGAGTCCAGGAATGTTAAGAGACAGGGTGACGTAGAACTGTCAGGATTTAGAGTTTCACCGTCTGTTTTCTATCAGAAGCTACTGCAGGAGGGAGGTGTAGGAGACTATCTTCATGTTCAGCCTGCATGAAAACTCAGAGTGACCCATTATGATCAGAAATAATCTTTAAAACACATTTTTTCAGTGAACTGAGCTTAAAACATGAAAATGGACTAAAAACTCGGCAGCACATATCGGCCATCGACTAACCGTGACCTCTGCGTGTCGGCATTAAAACCCTACATCAGTCGGTCTCCTCTGCAGCTGTTTTCTGTCCAGTTCATGCAACGCTGTGATGAGACCTCAGGGGTAGAGAGATGGTGACGATTCAGTCACATCTAATCATTTATTACCCTGTTCAGTAGTCCACCTTCATGCAGACTCTGGTTCTGGTTCTGAAATAAGCATCAAAGATGCTGATGGGACGAGCTTGGACAGACCCTCCGGAGACCAGAGCTGTTTCTAGTCTGAAAACTTTATCTTCATTATTTGTGGGTAGGCGAGCCGGGCCTCAGGAACATGAAGAACACACGGGTCTTAAAGATTTCATAGCTCTGAGTTAATAACAGAGAAAACCACTAAAGCGTTTTAAAATCCAGTCTCCCTGAAGAACGAAGCAGATCTGAGCCAAACACAATCATAATGCTGATGTCCTCAGTGGGATGTGGCTGTTCCACTGGTGTGAGCAGAAGCACACCGCCCTCCTGTACATGTGACACTCGTGTGTGACGGGGTAGTCCCGTCCCATGAAAACACGTTTTTGCCTCCTCAGTATGTGGCGCACATGGATGTAATTTTGGGGGGGGACAGGGGGGACATGTCCCCCCCACTTTTTCCAAATTCAAGTTTTGACTCCTGCACTTTTTACCATCCAAAAACAATATTACACTATATTAAATTGACACTGGTTGAGCTCTATAGGACCAAGCGGAAAACAATCATTTGTGTTGAAGCCTGTTTCCCATTGGAGCATACTGTAAAGATACCCCCCCCCCCCGTGTCCCCCCCACTTCCAAAGTGAAAATTACGTCCATGGTGGCGCACCCAGGGGTGCACACTTGGTTACGTCCATCTTGATGTCTGAATTGTTCGTGTTTCTCTGTGCAGCGGAGTGGGTTAGGGTTAGCACTGACACAAGCAGATGGGCGGGGCGGAATGAGGAGATAAGGAGGTCACTGCAGAACGAGAGAAGGGTGTGTGTGGACAGACTGTCGGCGTTTGGGGAACATGAGAAGTGCTTGGGAGAATAAGAAAGCGGGGGATTATGTTGGGTTGGACTGAGCTCATTATAAATACTCTTTTGTTGCGTAAATGTCGGCATTATTTTCCACTTTGGGACCCCAGGTGTGTGAACAAATACACGACTTCCTGACTACCGGCTTGGCCACTGAGGTTTATTTCCCGTTGTGGAACCTTTTCTGCACGTGGTGCAGGAGGAACCCACGACACCGTGCTTCACTAGTTAAAC